TTAAGAACATGAAGAAAGTCACTAATGGAATCTTCCATTCGTAAGAAAATGAAGGAAGTCAGAAATGGAATCTTCCATTCGCAAGAACACGAAGAAAGAAATAGAATCTCCCATTCGGAGCTTTGACGGCTTTATTCACATTTTCATGACTCCTTGAATCCAAATACATCTAAGCAGCCTGCAATACAGAATAATGTTTCCAGACTGCGAGCAATTCATAGTCCTATAGTATCTGGAATACTACTGGATTATCAGAGGATTATGGTTTTGCAAGATGGGTTTCACTCTTATTGTAGTATTTTCGAGCTGACATACCATACACGAAAATAGGCAAAATATAAAAGGGCACACAAATACATTTCAGTGGCCTTGACCTGTAACCTGAGCTAGGTGTGTGCATATGGCTATGCATAACTCTTTGTATCTATAAATAATTTTTGTAATTTATATAATAGACATTACATATAACAAGGAAAAGCTCGAAGATACTATGTGCGAAGTTTTCAACGCAAAGTGGCAGAACAGCAAACGATTGCATTCAGAAAGATGGACAGAATCCAAGACAATATTTTCATATGATCCGTAAATGTTCTTATCTGAATTCGCTATCATTCCAAAATTAGGGTTTCAATGAAGGGATATTTTTACTGAGCACTTTGTATCTGTATGATAATGAAATGTATTAGACGTAACCTTGAGAAGCCTTTAGATGGATTCTTTAATTGTTGGTGGGCCTTGGTAAAATCGCCCAGAGTGTTCGGAAGAAGAATAGAGCAAGTTTTAAATTATTAAAATCCAATGATGTCACAGAAAGAGGTTGCCACGTGTGAACTTAGCGCCAGAAAAAAAAAACAGTTCCAACATTGCCATGGTGATATAAGATACGTGTGCTATGGTAAATAAATATTAGACCGGCTCTTCAAAATGCACAAGATATCTGTGTCATTCTTACAGCCACTAAATATTATATATATATTTTATATCCTATGTCACTTGATGGCGAATAAAACAAAAATAAATACGAAACTTTGTGACTGCTAGCCGAACGTTCCTCAGCAAGATTCTTTTTTGCGTTTTCAAAGTATGATGTAAAATATTTTGTATTACGTATATATTTGAGATTTTATGGAAATAAGATTGGACAAAGGAAATAACTTTATGGAAATGGAAGCATTTGTTTCAGAGATTTTATTAAATGAAAATCTTACATTCGGCAGATAGATACGGTATTGTAGTGCCACCCATTACGATGTCGTACATTTCAAATATAGATTCGGTATTGTAGAGCACGTACACGATGTATTACATTTAGCAGATAGATACGGTATTGTAGTGCTTCCCATTACCATGTAGTACATTTAGCAGACAGTGACCGCTCCGGTGGTTTAAGTAGTCAGCGCATCCGACTTTTATGCGGGAAGTCGCAGGTTCGAATCCTGGTCGAGTCGTAAGAAAAACTTATGAAAATGGTACTAGCACCTACGACTCTTGACGCTAAGCAGTAAGAGGTTAGATTCAGGTATGGACGGCCTGGTGTCAGGATAATATGAATGGGTGTGACATGATGCAGTATGGTGTCTGAGGCAGTATGCCACAGTGCGAGACAACACTATGAACGGACACAACGCAGGCATCGTAGCGATATGACAAACATTGCTAAAGCTACGAGAAAAAGATCCAACAACACAACTATATAGTAGATATCTATGGTGGTGCACGCATGCGACAGATTTCTTTCCTTTAATTCATTTTTATATTACTCAACTCAATCATTCATTAAACTACATAATGATTAAAGAGACATACTACATAAATACGATCTTGATGATATGGGTGATTCATTGTTATGCATTAATAACGATATTATAATTTGTTTACAGCAAAATTGAAAGAGAATATTACGTAAGATAGAAATGTAAAACGTTCAGAATGTAACAAAAAGCACCACGTTTCAGAAAACGGGATGATAAAATGTCAGTCGAAAAGATAAAAACAAAATAATGGGCACACATTAGCATTAGCAATGTTGGCAGCGATATAATAATCATAATCACAGTCAAAGATGTATGTTTATACGATACGGATGAATTAAAGTCTGATTGAAACAGAAATCGGATATCCCGAATGATTCGCTGCTAATGCAAGAGTCATGACTATAGTCTAATGTCAATTTGCGAAGTAATTTCAAAGGCTTGTGTGTCTATTGAAAAGTAATAATAGATCGTATTTCAGTTATTTTTGTTATTCATATAACTGTTATTAATGTCCCATTGTGAATATGGACTGTTACAACATACAATTTTTTTGCTTCAGAGAGCAAAACACAAAAACTCTTTTAAACTATTGTTTCAAATGAAAATTTATATAAACCATGTGCAATTTCGATATTTTGTATTGACTCTAAAATATCTTAGCTGAAACAAAAAGATAACACATTCTTGCTGCCATATTGTCAAACGAATTGGCGTATATAACCTAAACTAATAATGTTAAGTCAAGAGATATTTTTTTTATTTTTCTTAGAATGTCTAAAGGCGTCATGGAATAAAATAGATGGTATTTGTGTTGTATTATTGTTATATAACTACGACTTTAATCATGGATAATAACTATGTTTCTTGGTATGCGTAGTTGTAGTAGATGGAATATAATCATTTATACAACAAAAAAAAATTCTTTGATGCAAAAACATAAACTAACACATTGAGACTAAAAATATAATAAAACTTGATTTATTGGTTTATTTTGTTTTGGACAAGCAGTGAACAAGGATTCTTTAGATCTTTCCACTTATAAGTATTTGAAACTTATTGATTAAATAGCTTGCATTAAAGATAGTTTCCCTTTGATATATATAGTATATCTCTTCCTCAACACGTAGTTAGTTCTTGTATGTTTGTTATTTTTATATTTTAAGACCATTTCATTATCTTGGATAGTTTGTTTTCTTCTGTTTCTAGATAAACGGTAAAGAACATAATGGGGAATGTTATCTTGGAAATATCATTTCGTGTGTGGATAACAAAATCATCATATCATGCTGGCATTTACGATCTTTTTTCAAACTGTATCAAAGTGTATCATATTTGGTAAAATTTGTAACAAGCTTGATGCTTATCTACATATAAAAAAGCTAGAAACATAATGCAAGAAGCATTTGCCTGAAGAAGAATATTTTATCGTCCTGACAACGGAACACATCTATGACAATTTAATTTAAAATGCAATATTTGCAACGTTCCATAGCATGATGGTACAACAAAGACAACACTAAAATCATAGAAAATGATGCATGCTACTGGAATCTCTATGATGAGTAATCAGATTTTAAAAAGAATATACCCAACAATATGTAAGGAATAACGAAATGCGCTTAGTTGCACAATTCGCTGGTGGTAATGAAAACTCTTTAAATCACCATATAAAGATGTTTTAATGCATCTTGTGATCCAGATGAGCCATCCATTTTGATTTACTTTTTTTTCTGCAAGATAGTAATACAGTAGCAGAGTAAATCGAACGTGTAATCTGTATTTAGGCTGACAATATCTGTCCAGAACAGTCTGTCTCCACTGTTTCCGTTAGAACTAAATGACACTCTAAAAGAATAATTATGGAAAAGAAGGCCAACGGTAGCAAAATGCTTGTACTGCCATAAAAATCACGAAGTATGTATTTAAAGTCAAATTTATCATAAACTAAACAAACTATGGTTTAAAAAAATATATATATTTTTTTTCTAGCGGCTGCTATAGATTACTTTTAAAAAAAATAGTTTACAACTTTTACCTTACTTACGAAGGGATCGTCACACATTGAATAGGTCGCAAAGGTTGCTTTCAACGCAAAAAATATCCTTAAACTTGCGGAGCGCTATACATTTATATATATATATATATATATATATATATATATATATATATATATATATATATATATATATATATATATATATAATGATGTCTATGGGAAACAGCATTTCCACTTCGACAAGCTTTCAATATTAACATTTAGTCTCGTTCGTTACTAAGTTTATATGCTTAATCAGCAATGCAAACAAGCGGCCGAAAATGCAAAAGTAAGAGAAATAGTATGATCAGCCAAGACGAAAATCCAACAGTTTGGCAAGTACTTTGTAAACAACGAGATAAGTACACTGCCATAAATTTCCGGCAGTACTGCAGCTGCTGTTTTGTGCTAACTTAAAGAAATAATTGCCAAGAACTGCATAGCCTTTAAATATTTTATTAATCTACGAACGACAATTGCCTCCTGCTAAGCGCTACCGCCATATTTCCCTTTGATAGTAATAGTTAACATTTCATGACAAGAGTTTGTAAAGTCGTGTCAACAAATCTGGTTATAACAGCTACTGCTACAGCACTTTCTGTAATAATATCGTTTAGTCTTTCATCTAATGGTACGTTTATTACAAACCTTTAATTTATTCTTTGAATCTTTTCTCTGCACACTTCCCGCATATAATGACAACGGCACGACTGTTTTTGGTTATTTAAATGGTGTTGAACGTGTCGCTGATTATTTTTCGAAACTCAAATGGAAGCGCAGTTCTGACTGACATATCTCTACAGGGTTGGATGCCTAATACATGGTGGTTAAATAAGTATGTCTACGGGAATTCGTTGTGTACAAAGTTGCTAGTGAAAAAGCAGCATACAAAGCAATAACCGGTACATTTGTAACTGAGAAACCGATTGACGAAATGGATGGGGATGAAAAATGGAACACATAAACGGTCATTGTTAGTGCTAAAATTCCATATTACTGTTTATTGTGAAAGGTATATGTGTGTTTGTGTGTGGGTGATATTTTATTTTAACGTAACTTCAATATTTTTTTTCAGTCATATTGTTACGATATCTGTAGAGTGGCAGTTTATAGTGATGTCTAGCACTGGGACATCATGCCGCAGACATGTGTAATAGTGTCACACAATACCAACCAGTCATATCAATAAGCTGCGTGATAAGTCTTTGTTATGACTCGGTTAAGGTTAAAACTCGCAACCTCCCGCATACGAGGCGAACGCTCTAACCACTAGGCCACCGGAGCGGTCAGTGTCAAAGTTCACTTGTTGTATGGTCCGTGTGACTCTTATTACATCCCAGTTTGTTTCGACTCTAAACCATACAATCCACCAAGTGAAGTGACACCATAATTGTGTTGTCTAAAAGATCTATGTAACAACAGTAAATTCCAAATATTTTCATATAATAAATACTTTCTATTTTATTTCTTGCAAGCTATAGCTAAATCGTCAAAATGTCCCTGTAGCGTAGATAGCAAAACCTGATACAAGTGCATGCATAAATTATTGTTTACTGATATTTACATACTCACAAACAGCCGTGCGTTACAGACATTACATCGGTTGTTCCCATGACAAAATAAACGCATGTAATAAAAGGTTAATTTGGACAATTCTGTATCCATCATTACCATTCTGGTAGTGTTGGAGTACATTTATTTATATGTCCAAGAAAAGATCATGCATAATCGTATATTTAAATTATCCTTTTCAAACTTTGAAGAAATATAACTACAAATAAACACAACACACCGCCAATACATGGCCATCTAACGTGCTACATTGGACAGAAAATGACGGATCTGTTCAAATAAATTTAGAAGTTTCTGTTTAGAGCAGCAGATGTAACGTAGACAGATAATGCAACGTTTTGCTATAGACATAAACCACACTGATGGCGCGTTTAAACTATTGAATGTTTGTAAAACTTGACAAACGCCGTGTTTGTATAGAAATAAACTAATATGAACTGCGACATTATGAACTGGTCTATTTCTTCACATATGTAATTAAGAAGATTAGAATGTGGACTTAAAGATCATTACATGTCCGTTGGTAGAATTAGATGCTTGCTTGAACTTTTGTCATAAAGTTTATATTTTCACCATGTACATTTAGATGCAAGTTTGATTACATTAAAGAATATATATTGAAAATAAAACAGAAAATAGGACATACAAAAGACAAATGCTGTTTAGCAATCCGTACTGTTTTATTTGTAGATAATGCAGTTACAACGAATTTGTCTAATTGTTGTTAATAAATTGGTGCATGCATATGATCGTGAACCCCATCTTGGTGAAAAATATAAGTAATAAAGTGTCGTTTAATACAACAGAGCTGAGAAAATAAAGAAGTCTCAACAGTACCGTTTTGACTCTGCTAAATATGTAATGTTTTCCAAATTAGGTGATTCAAGTTTTCTTTTTACCTGTTATCTGATCTCTTGCATCATCGAAAATATCTTGGCATATAGTATCTGCTTTCGGTCGTTGTGATATGTAAGGATCTGTGTTTAAAATATGTAATTTACTGATCGGTGTCTAAAACATGTAATTTAATGATTTGTATCTAAAACATGTCAGTTACTGATTTGTGTCAAAAACGCGTATTTAACTGATATGTGTCTAAAACAAGTAATTTGATGATCGGTGTAATTCAATGAACTGTGTCTAAAACGCATAATTAAATGTGTCTAAAACATGTAATTTAATGTGTCTAAAACATGTAATATAATGATATATGTCGAAAACATGCAATTAATTGATCCTCGTCTAAATCGTGTAATTAAATTTTCTGTGTCTGCAAACTTTTAATTAAATGATCTGTACGCAAAACATGAAACGTAATGGTTGACATGTAAAATAGTAATATCTGTATATAAAACGTGTAGTTATATGATCTGTGTCTTAAAAATGTAAATTAATGATCTATCTCTAAAACTTAAAGTATATGATCTGTGTCTAAAACATGTAGTTTTAATTTATCTATCTAAAACATAATATAATTATCTATATTTTAAAACGTTAGTTACTGATCAGTATCTAAAACATGTAATTGATACTAATAATTAAAATTAGTATAATATAACTACTAATGAGAGTCAAAACACGGAAGAGTGCTATTTTCCCAGTTTGATAGGTCTTTTAATTATCTTTGAAAAGTACGCTTCATGAAAGTCATGTGTTGCTTATAATCATTTGGAAATTGTTCAATTTTGTTGTTTTTTTTTTGGATTTTTTCATTTAAATTTACTCTGGTTTATTTCATCCAACTGTTATTGACTCGGATTTACAACGATTATTTTTTTTTTTGTTTCAGATCAAACTCGGTTAAAATATTCCAAACAATTCTTTGTATCAATTATTTCGTATTTACCAAGTTAAAATATAAAAACCAAGATTACTTCACAAAAGACAAAGATTCTCACAGAGTTGTGCTTAGTCTACATGGGAAACGATTATAATAATGAAAACAATGAAAGGACGAAAATTAAAATGAAAACGTAAATGTTATATATGTAATCTATATTGAGTAATTAGCTATCGTACGTTGTACTTCAGATTCTTGTCACGTGCAAGCAAAATGTTTACGTAGCGTTGAATTCAAGTTCAGGCTAGTTAACAATTACATAAAGCGTTTTTGGAAACCTTCACATTTTATTATGTGAAGAAACTTTCACATTTTATTACGTGAAAACGTGTACAGATAGGGATTTGATAAATTAATAACTCATTCCTTCTTTCGACCAGTCTGTGGGAATCAATTTTTGATCAGAGTAAACATCTTGCCTTGTTGAAATCAGACATGATTCGAAAGATATTATTTATCCAAAAGTGTCGTTGATTTACCAACGTGCCAAATGGCCTTAGCATTTATACATTAATTTGGGATTATTCAAAGACATTCTAAAGTTAATCAAAATATATCAACCATTCAAGTCTATTCGAATTCATTTAGAAGATTCTACATATTGGTCTTGTGATAAGAAAAATTATGATTATTTGGAATTTAATTCACAATAGTGTCTGTTTAAAAGTTTTATTTTGTAGCTAAATTGTCTGTTGAGTTCACTTAAATTCTACATATTAGTTTCTTTTTGTTTTATATTCTAAGACCCAAAGTAATGACTAAAGATGGGGCTTGTTTGGTATGTGGATGTTTTAAAACATGTCATATATAGTAAACTCAACCTTCAAACTCAACTTGTTTTGGGGGAATTTTAATCGTCCTGTTTAAAGATGTTAATTTAGCACATTTCAGAAATCTTTTGAGAAACCATCAAGCATACATAATGCCATCTAATGTCTAGAACTTTGTTTCAAATCCTAACCAGGATGTCTTAGAACCGTAATGATTATGAAAACGGATGAATTACTGGAGCTTGCCACAAATCATGATTCTTTTTGGGAAGAAAACGCTACATAAACAAATCAAGATATACATATAATTTAGACTCAGAATCTAATCGGAAAGGGAATTTTAGATAATGATGCTTTGGGGGGGGGGTTGTACGTTTGTAAATGATTTTGATAGGAAATTAAAGGTTTTACAGCTAAACGAACACATGGAATATCAAGTAACTAAGATTCGAACTTATAGGGAAATCATGTAAATACAAGTTCAATGAGAGAGAGAGAGAGAGAGAGAGAGAGAGAGAGAGAGAGAGAGAGAGAGAGAGAGAGAGAGAGAGAGAGAGAGAGAGGAGAGAGAGAGAGAAAGTACTCTCCACCTCCCCTTACATGCATGAGTTCAGGTTTTGATGTTACCAGAAAAATGTTAGTTTTTTACACTCTTCTCAGGACAAAATTGTTGATAAATTTCTTGTCACATAGAAAACATTGCCAAAGTGTGAAATTGTCACGATATCATTGGAGTTCATTGTTGCAACGTGTACTTACTGGCAAAGCTCCTAATGTCTACACTGCACTGTCGGTACAACAAAGTTATGATTATGATGTAGTTAAGGAATATATCTTGTAAGGTAACGAATTGGTAATTGCGACATAACTATACTGTCGAAATAAATTGGACAAACCCCGTGTCGAATTTGCACTGGAAAATAATAACTAGTTATAGGTGAGATTCTGCTAAGAATGTTGAACAAGATTACGATAACCTCTGACTGTTCATAGTAATTAGAAATAGTACATTTCAAATATCGCACCATAATGATACCTATCTTAATGAACAAAAAGGTGGCAACTTTGAAAATTATTATTTGTCCTTGACTAGCAAAGAATTTTTATAAGTAAATCCTCTTCTCGGCCGTTCATTTTGGTATATTAATTGTCAGGCACAACTTTAGAAATCAGCATCCAGTAAGTCTGATTAGAAATCCTTTTTCTTCCTATACGCTCTTATTGTAAAATTAATAGGCACGTCATTTCTGATTGATGCAGGTTATAAAGAAAGCAACACAATAACGATAGAACTATTCCAAATACTTTTCATAGAGGTCAAGTTTGCCGCCTTATATTGGAGACGTCTGAATCATTCATATTTGAAGGTTCTATATCACTTGATGAGTCTGAAAAAAGCCTATCCCGAACAAACAATTTAGGGAGACAGGAGCTTAATGTAACTGGTGCTTACCATATATTCTTGTGCCCGAACCAGATATTATGTTTCGAATGCATATGGACACTGGAAATGTCAACAGTGTCATTAAAACAGATTCATTTCCAAAGTCTGGAACAGATAATTTCATCCATAAAATTGGAAATGCGAAATATCCCATCACGTTTGACATCTTAAACGGCCTGTTCCATTTAAGGAAAAAGCATAAAGAAATTTTGGAATTTGTAACATTAGATGTGCTTTGTCACTATCATTAGATGATATTTGGAATTTAAATTCTTCGGCAATATTGCAACGTCCATTGAACACGTTAACATTTGGTCTACAACATTGTGAACAATCTTTAGGTATCAACTGCTCAGCTTCCATGAATCTGCTGGAAACAACATCAGTAGTTATGCTAACCCTATCATGCGAGATAAACCAAAGTTTAGCCTGATGAACTTCGTTAGGTGTTCTCACATCAACCCAATTGCATCAATGTTGCAAATGGCGGACTAAATCGGGCGGAACAGTGTGGCAAAGGGCTGACCTGAATACACGCTACTCTAGCGACAAATAGAGACATAGACGTAAAGACATGGTTAGAGACAGAGTTAGAGACAGGGTTAGAGACATAGATACACAGACATACAAAGATTTATGAATATAAATCTATTACACCAAAA